TAGCCAGTTGCTGCTTGTTTTGAACATTCCACGACCAGCTCATGCTGGACTGGATCTCCTGCGAGGCCCCTTTCTGTGCGCAGGTTGCATCATGCATGGTTGGCGCTTCCTTCTCCAAATCCTGGATGTTCGTCTCTAACCAACCTTGCATCCTGGATCTTGCCTGTGTCAGCACTCATCCCCGCGGCACGCATGAGTCCTTTGTTGGCAAGCGTGATGGCTCTGGCTTTCTAAGTCGCCGCACGGCCGAGTACCCTGCTGAGTTGGCCGCCTCTCTTGCAAGCTTGTGCGCTCCATTCCTGTCCAGCCTCGGCAACTGTGTTGACTTCTCTCGGTGGCGTTCCTTCCTTCCATCGGATCCTGCGTGGGTGGAGCCCTCCTGCAGGGTGGAGGATGGGGGCGGCATCAACAGCACTGCGTGCTGGTTGCAGCCTGCTGCTGCTGACCTGCTGCATTCACTCCGTTGTCGTTGGTCTCAACGCCTGTTCGACACTGGTTTGTGTCTGCGCATTGCGGCTCACCTTCAGCTGGCACCTCAGGGACCACCATTGGCGGATGCGGAAATTGCTCCATTCCTGCAAGACATATTCGAGGCTTTCCAGGTGAGTCCTCCCGAGCAAGCTGACCTGCTCTTCATTGCGCCGGGTCAACCCTTACGCCTGAGACTTCTGAAGTTCTTGTTGCAAAAGATCCAGGACTCAGAAGCCTCTCTTTGTGACCAGTTGGAGTCTGGTGTTTCTTTAGGGGTGGGTGCTTCGCTGGAACCCTCCCTGCATTGGCCCAAGCGTGACTCCGAGCTCGTCATCCCGGCATTGCATCTCTGCGAGGGGGCCTGGAAATCGGCTGAGAGCGAGCCAGACATCGTGCATACCTTGCTCGAAGAGGAACTTCGCGAGTCCTGGATTACCGAGTATGCATCTCTTGAGGAAATACAGAATGAGTTTCCTCAGGTTGCATTAGGACGACTAGGCCTTGTGCTTGCGGAAGGTCGCTCCCCCAGACTGGTCGTGGACTCCAGCGTCAGCGGCGTCACTTCTTCATCTGTGATCCCCAATCACGTCTCCAATCCTCGTATTGAGGACGTGTCTGGCTGTGCACCCTCTTTTGTCCCGTCGGACCCCTGGGTGGGCGCCTCCATTGACGTGAAGAAAGCTCACCGTCGCATGAAGATCGCCCCGCATGAGAGGGCATTGCTTGCGTTCTCCTTTCGGGGGCGCTACTTCGTTAGCAACTGCCTTAACTTTGGCGCTCGGGCTTCGTCTTGGTACTGGGCCCGCCTGGCCGGTGCCATACACAGGGTCACTCACTTCATCATCTTCCTGAAGCACTTTCTTTGGGTCTATGTTGATGACTGGCTGGCTGGGTTTCGCAAGTCCACTGCTCCACTGCATGTGAGTCTGTGGGTAATGTTGCTTCTGTGCATCAACTTGCCAATTTCATGGTCCAAATGCTCCATTGGTGATCAGATCACCTGGATCGGCTGGAGGATCTCCTTTGATTCATGGACCGTGGAGCTGCCGGCGGAGAAGATTCATCGCATCCTTGACCAGCTCGCCTCGGTGTGCAAGCAGATGCGTGTCAAAGTCAAGGACCTGGAATCCATCATCGGGCGACTTCTCTGGCTGACAGGGCTTTGGCGCTTGCTGCGCCCCTTGCTTCAGCCCCTTTACGCCGCTCTGCGCGATATACCCTGCACAATCGTGGCCGTGTCGCCGCAGCTGTGGACCCAGATCCTGGACGCTTGTGATGATTCAGGGCGCCTCCAGCGTTCCTTGAATCATGCTTCATTCCCGGAAGGTGCACGCCTCACTCGCGCTGGGAATACTGCAATCTCGTCCTTGGCGCAGCTCAAGCGCGTCCCGTTCATCAAACGTCGCTTGTGGGTCTCCATCCAGGACTCTGACCACCCACTGCGGTGTCTCTCTCCGCAGTCTATTGCGGCCTTGCATTCCTGGTCGGCCATCTTGAGCTCCACACCCTGTGTTTTCAACATCAAGCAAGCTCCGCTGCTGCATCTGGTGGCTGAAGCAGATGCCTTCGCGGATGAGGACATGTGTGGACTGGGAGGGTACATTCAATTAATGGCCCTCTGGCGTGTGCAGATGGTTCTCCATCTCCTTGTGTCCATTGCAGGTGAAGCAGTTTTTTCCATCCCTGGATGGCTCTCTACAGCCTCACATCTGTGCACTTGAGCTCCTTGCTCAATTCTGCCTTCTTTGGATGGCTTCCGAGATGATACCGCGTGCACGCCGCCAGCTTACTGTACCGATGCGCTCCGACAACTCCGGTGCGGAGCTTGCATCCGTGAAAGGAATGTCATCTGTCAGGATCCTGGGCGAGGTCCTTCTTGCATTTCTTGACTTTCAGCGCAGGAATGGCTTGCACGCTTCGGTTGAGCACATTCCAGGTTACAGGAATGACCTGGCCGACGAGCTTAGCCGTCTTCGAGATGCATCATCTCCTCTGCCTCAGTGCGACAGAATGCATCCACCTTTACACTTTCTGCTTCGCTCAGCAGGTCGTGTGTGTCGCCCTGACTCGGCCAAATGGCCTAAGCCTTGGCGCTGAGAGCGAAACAGTCCGTGCATTGCAGCTGTCACGAGTTTCATGTTCGGGGATTTCCCCTGCGGGTCGTTCCGAGCTGACGTGTGGTGCTGCCCCTCCATGCATTACGTTGTTCGATTATTTCGAAGCCTTCGCCTGCATTCCTTTTCGGAAAGTGCACGTCGGTCGAGGCTTCGTGAACGTCTACATCGAACTTCGTTCATATGACGGGGGGGTCACGTTTTGTGCACCATTCGCTCAAAAAAGGACCGGTGAACAGCTGCTTGCATTAGGATCTGATTCGCTGGAATTTTTCCATATTTTATATTCTTTTGAATATTTACATCGGGCCACGTACTTTGGCCAATATGTTATATTCACGT